TGGAAACCTTTCGGGCCCGAAGGCAAATTTTACCTTTTGAATATTAGCACAGTTCCTAGCACAAAAACCAGTCAATTTTGCTTCATAAGCTGGTTGTTACATTGTCTGCGGTTTTCAGAATTAAAACTTTGATCTTAAAGGCAAACACGACACACTCAAAACAGCTTTCCGGGCCCGAAAAGTTATCTGAGGCCCGTTTCTCGAAAGTCCCGGTAACTTTACGGGCCCGAAATCAAATATTCAAATCGAAATATAAAGAATAAGAGCGCGGGTCCTGGCTAGCAAACTACTCCATTTTGTTTCATTAACTGACACTTTTATCGTGTTAGATGCAAAACAATTAAAACCTCGATCTTTAATGTAAACGGAGACAGCTTACCGGGCCCGTTAATTATCGGGACTTTCGAGAAACGGGCCCCTGGTCTGAAAACGGGTATGGATTTTAGAGGTCTGGTCTGAAAACGGGTGTTGAAGATGACATTTTTTGGCCGTAAATAGGGTCAGGATTTGGAGAACCGGGCGGCACACCCCCACCAAGAATTCCCAGGGGTACCCCCGGGGGTTCGTAGTGGATCGTAAGTACCCTGCGAACAGACCAGAGGTAAGCCGCCACCCCGTCGCTGGGGACGTTTCGCGACAGGGGCGTTCCTGGCGGCGGGGAGCGAAAGGTGGCTGCATTCGCATGTTATCGGCACTCTTCGTTGCCGATGAAGGGTAGGTGCTTTAAATCGAGCACTTGCTGCCCTAAACTTTCCTGAAATGCGGATCATACCCTCTCCCTGGAATCTAAATTACTTCTCGCTCTTCTCGAAAAACAAAAAAAAAACCCTGCATGATCGCAGATTGATTTTAGCAAGTCTCTCTCGGCTTTCATGTCGTTCATAGCTCGGCTTGTAACGTAGCCTTCGTAGCAGGCGCTTGGAACTAGTGGGTACAAGAAAAAACGGGCGCGCGAAAAGGAGCGCGCCCCGTTCTCTATTTCAGCCACTACTTCCAAGCGCCTGCTACGCAGGCTACTTGAAACGAGGTTGCATTGTTATTACAATTATAACTATTATAATTATTATTGTTATTATTGTATTTCAGAACAACTGATTTCATTCCACAGCCTTTAACCATGAAAGTCAAAAAGAAACCCACACAAATGATAGAACAACACGCCCTCTACTTGTACTGTGAGGGCTAAGCCATCCGAATCGGGCAGATCTTGATTATATAAATTTTTTTAATCGTTCATTTTAGAAAATCGACGGGGAAAGATCGAGAAACTTCAATAGACAACTGTTACGTTTAGAAATAAACTCACTGTGGAAAGAAAACTAAATTGTGGCTGTTGAACCCACTCTGTCCTGTGGCTAAGTTCGCCATTATCCAGAAGGACATACCGTCAAATTCCGAAAATAAGCCCCTCCATGTATAAGCCCCTCCAAATATAAGCCTCCCATTTTCGTAACGCAAAAAACCCTCAGTTAAATCGCCCCTCCAAATATAAGCCCCCCGGGGGCTTGTACTTGGAAAATTGCCCTCAAATACAAGGTAAAACAAAGCAAAAATGGTAAATTTCTCTAAATTTACTTCTAACTATAAGGTTAGCCCAATCGATTTTGAAACGCAAATTTCCCTCCGTAGATAAGCCCCTCCGAATAGACCTTGTCACGGTTTCGACGCCATCTTGACGAGTAGGCAAGCGCGTGAGAAATAACAGTGATTGTATGAGAATCTAATGTCGAATAATTTCCTTATAACGGTTGTTCTGAAAAAAATATGATTTGTAAACTAAAGCTTCACTCCTGAGGATTCTCCTGGAAAAAATTTGAGGGCGTTACATGCACTAGAAGACCTAGAACCACTTTTTAAAATTATCTATACATTTGTCTGTAAGAAAGTCCCGGGAAAATTACAGACAAATATATGGAAAATCTAAAGAAAGCCTCTGGAAAAATTTCCGCAGTTACGCCCCCCAATTTTTTTTAGGACAATCCTTTGCTTTGTAGCTTTAGTTTACAATTGATATTTTGTTCAGAACAGCCGTTTTACGGAAATTATTCGACATTAGATTCTCATACAAACACTGTAATTTCTCACGCGTTTGCCTACTGGTCAAGATGGCGTCGAAAACCGTGACAAGGTCTATTTAAGCCCCTCCAAAAATAAGCCCCTCAAAAAGACCCTTTGAAAAATATAAGCCCCGGGGTTTATTTTCGGAATTTTACGGTAGCTGACAGGGATCATGCCTTGCTGCCTATAACTCATTTAACTGTCTGAATATAAAAAAAGGCTCCAATTATTATGATAATAAAAAGATAGACAAAACAGTGTACTCCAGAATACACCGACATCTGAACTTAACGATAGAATTCTCTATTGTTATCCCTCGTATTTGTATAAAGCTTTCAATTTTTATAGCCCACAGTGTCGTTAACAATATATTAAAAAGATGGTGAAAAGGCAGAATTTGCATTTTCTACAATTTCACAAATTCCGACAGCTGTTTAGACTGGTAAATAAATCGGGCGTAAAATTTTTTCCTTCTGTTTTTACTCATAGAGCCTGGACTAGCCTGACGTTTGTCGACCTCAGATGGCGATTTTTATTTTTAAACAAATTACCAAATTCTATACTTCAACAAAAATACCGACATTGTATGGACATTGCAAAACTCGGCAAACCTACAAATATGTATAAAGTTGGTAACCTGCTACTGCTCATATCTTCACACTGCACACTTAAGGTCGGTACACACCAGGCGACAAGTTGCAGCAACACGTCGCGGCGACAGATCACCCCATGTGTACAGGTCGGGTGACTAGTTGCAGCAACAAGGTGAGGCGACCCGTCGCAGCGACAAATCGCTTCGTGTGTACTGGAGAATTTTTGTGAAAATCTTTGTCTCCGCGACAGAATTTTGTCGCTGCAACAAGTCGCAAAAAATCAAATCAGACTGAATCTGTGCGACTTGTTGCGGCGACAAAATTCTGTTGCAGCGACAAAGATTTTCACAAAATTCTCCACTACACACGAAGCGATTTGTCGCTGCAACGTGTCGCCGCGACATGTTGCTGCAACTTGTCACCTAGTGTGTACCGACCTTTATGGTTTATATACAAACTGTACCACTCTCACGCGAACTAATTCAGTTTGCTCGAGAATATAGAGGGAATCGAAGTTTAATCTTCCGCTATATTTGAGAGACTGCTGTCTTGGATGACTATAATTTTTTGCCATGACTTCCGGCTATTGTGTCCACAATGAACTAGCATTTTTTCGAGTTAGATAAACGGCGATTGTTTAGAATAAAGCACAAAAACCGTAAATGGTAACAATAAACCTACGTTGATCAAGATCACGGTTGATATTTTCAAAGCAATAATAGGGGTAAGCCTGAGTGCAATTCTCCGTGACTATGGTACTTGCAGTATCATTATTATTATCTTAATGAAGTTATGTTACGAATAATATTTTTTCACCTTATTTAATTACTCCTAGGAAGTAAACAGCGAGTATTTCACTGCAGAGGTTGCCAAAGATATCCAAGAAAAGCATTCCAAGTATACCGAGAATGAAAGGTTAGACGCCTTACATTAATGTGGATTTTGAGATACTCAGCTTTGGAAACCGAGTTATATCACAGACTTGATTAGTGATTCGCCGAAGACGTAATTGCCCTCATAGATACCCGGGAACAAACAAAAGTCATCGATTATTAAAAGATTCATATTCATATTTTCATTTTAGATATAATTCTTACTATACCATTTTCTACCTGAACTAATGATTTTTAAGCGCGTTTTTTAGAATTTGTTAATATTTTTAAAGTTCAGTTAGGGGACCTTTTATAGGGATAACCTGGCGGTCCACCTTTTTCAAATATGTATCATGTATCATGTTTATGTGCATATATGTATTTGAATAAAGTATTATTATTATTATTAATAAAATTGTAGCCAATTATATATTATATAACTTGCGTGTATTCAAGTGCCCCTCCTAAAAATCAAAACAAACTTCACAATCATAGGCTTTCCTGCCTTTGTGCGATCTCTATTTTTTATTTCTATTGTTTATTTACTTATTATTACTATTGCTATTATAATTATTTTTAGGAATGCTTTCATTATCATTTATCTACGTTGTGGTTTTGGTCTCTGCAATGTCATCATACACTTACGGTTACAACTCGACGGCATGGTATCGCTTTTGGTGGTGGACTCCAGGACAGAGGTGGCCTACTAGTGAAACCGATGTTTTGAAGAGCGCCTACGGGAAATGTAAGCCAGACGATCTGTACTGCTTCCAAAGGCTTCCGCCTTGGGCCGAGGAAGATTCAACCGAGCTCCTTGCGATCGACTCAGACGGGACCGTGTACCAATGGAAATTTGATTCGAAGAACCCAACTGCACACGCCGCATGGAAAGCTCTCCATGACCACAAGGAATCCCTGGCAGGTCAAATTGTGAACAAAAAAGCCTGGAATCCGCTAACTGTGGAAGGAAGCAAGCCTAAAGCAACTCAAGACTCCTTTATGTATCGAAACCAGAACGGCGTTAAATCTTTACTTCTGGATGATGATAATTGCGACTGTCTATCAACTTTAAGCCTGGGCCATGGAATGTGCGGTAGTGGTCATAATAAGAGATATAGCAGCGCTAAGGTGTTTGGTGTCGATAAGCTGTACGACCCAGGCTGCCGAGGACCGTCTCCAACATACGGTGTTTCATTATACTTTCAAACCGCCAAGAAGATAGCTCTTGACGATTATGGTGGAGGATGGAAAGCCTTTTGGTGGTGGGGAAAAGACATAGCATGGCCAAAACATATCACAGACGTCCTTGGAAATCCCTTCGGGTCCTGCCAGGAGACTGATATTTACTGCTTCCAACGCATTCCCAAATGGGCCAAAGAAAGTGAAACAGAGTTGCTCGCTGTGGATTCGAGAGGGACGGTTTACAGGTGGGCTTTCAATCCCAAAAACCCAACAGCACATGCCGCCTGGCTTGCATTTCACGATCACCACGAAACCCAACATAGAGTAATATTAAACTCAAGTCCTTGGAATCCAGTTGTTCTTAAGGGAAAGTTATCATCCAGAACTCAAGACTCCTTCATGTACCGTAAACAGAATGGAGTTAAGTCCCTTCTACTTGACGATGACAACTGTGACTGTGATTCATCACTCAATCTTGGTCATGGAATGTGCGGTGCTGGCCATTCGACAAGCTTCAGCAAAGCAAAAACGTTTGGAGTTGATGCTCTCTACGACAGTGGATGTCACGGTCCTGTAACAACCATAGGGCTCACTCTACATTTTCGGATTAGACGCACAGACCTGAAAGCGTTTGGTGGGAAATGGAGAGCTTTCTGGTGGTGGAATAGAGGCGTAGACTGGCCCACTTGTGAATCCAAACTGGCAAATGACGTTCTCAAATACCCGTATGGAGAATGCTCCGTTGGTGATCCGTTTTGCTTTCAGCGGCTTCCATCCTGGCTGGAAGAGGACTCCACACGCATACTAGCAACAGATTCGCATAACAACGTCTACAGGTGGACGTTCAATGCCTCTAACCCGACAGCTCATGCAGCATGGAACGCATTTCACGACCATATAGAGACTTTATCCGGTGTTGCGTTGAACAAAGATCCCTGGAATCCTACAGTGTTGAAAGGAAAATCTCCGACTGTTGACCAGGATTCGTTTACTTATTCTAGAACGAACGGTGTTAAGTCCGTCCTACTGGATGATGACAACTGCGACTGCCTCTCAACAATCCAGCTCGGAGCTACCGCCTGCAGTAGTAACAAGCTTAATTCAAACGCGCGTGGAGTCGATTCTCTGTATGATCCTGCTTGCAATCTACCAAGCCCCCAAAATGGACTAACTCTCTACTTCCAAGTTCCTGACCCACCTATGACCTTTAAAGGATATGGATTCAAGTGGACAGCTTTCTGGTGGTGGCCAAAGGACGGACAGTGGCCAATTAGAGTAAAAGACATTTTGGAAAAACCATTCGGAAAATGTAAGGAAACCGATGTTTACTGCTTTGGAAGGCTTCCATCAGATACTAAAGAAGACAGAACCAAGTTGCTAGCTATTGACACTGAAGGAAACATCTATCTGTGGAATTTCTTCTCTGGAAATCCAACAGCACATGCAGCCTGGAAAGCCTTCCACGATCACGCAGAAACCCCAGTCGGAAAAATAAGGGATAACAGAGTGTGGAATCCTATAGTAATAAAGGGAACAGCACCAAAAGCCAACCAAGATTCCTTTATGTACCGATCCCAAGCTGGTGTCAAGTCCATTCTGTTGGATGACGACAATTGCGATTGTCTTTCAACCATCAGCCTTGGACACGGTATGTGTAGGTCTGGGTTCGCCACGGGCTATGCCGCCCCCAAACAACGATTTGGTGTTGACGCCCTCTACGATCCAGAGGCCACCAAATGCAACACACCACGACCTAGCATTGGCTTGACTTTGTACTTCTCCATCGCAGAAGAAGTAGCCCTGCACATGACTTCATGCAAGCACGGTGGAAACTGGCTGGCGTTCTGGTGGTGGACTGCTGGTGCAACCTGGCCTACTGACGAAAGAGACGTGTTAGCCTACCCATACGGCTACTGCAGCCCATATAGCGTGTACTGCTTTGGACGCATCCCATCCTGGGCGCGAGAGGCTAATACCGAGATGCTTGCAATTGACTCTGTAGGAAATGAGTACATGTGGAAGTTTGACCCCCATAATACCGTAGCACATGCCGCTTGGTTGGCGTTTCATGATCACTTAACCACTGCAGCTGGGAAAGTGGTGAACAAAAAGGACGGGTGGGATCCGGTGGTGCTAAAGGGAAAAAAACCGAAAGCAAAGCAAGACTCGTTCATGTATCGGCAACAGAATAACGTCAAGTCCATTTTACTCGATGATGACAACTGCGATTGCCTTACAACGCTGAATATAGGTCATGGGATGTGTGGCTCTGGGCACAGTACAAGTTACGGGCCTGCAAACAGATTTGGAGTAGACGCACTTTTTGATCCACGCTGCTATGCTCCTCGTCCTGAAATTGGTTTAACGCTATATTTCCGCGTAAAATAAGTATGTAGCGCTTGGCAGGAGCTTGCTATGGGCTCCTGACCCTTGGCAATTGCAAAACTACGCAAGTCAAGTAGCAGTGGGATCTGTCTAAGTTTATAAGGCTTTCCGCGTGATGTAACTTAAAAAGGGATTTAAAGGGGAATAAAACTTTTGAGATGACCCTACTGGTTTGAATTCTCAAGATTTACTTACTGTTATTTGAGAAATAGCTAGTCACGAAAAGTCCGGGAAAAAATATAAAAAAATAAAAATGGGCACAAAACAACGACAAAAGAGAGGCTTACGATCCTAATGCCCGCAAAAGAAATGGCAAGGCAACATGCAAGCTGGCGACGTTATCGCGAGATATTTTAGTAAGTTTTTCGGTACAGAGTCTTCTTTGGATCGCTTTGGATAGGTTTGCGGTATTATCATCCCCACTGAAAATCCAACGAATTTCCTGCAGATTTAGTGTCTTTGCCATAGTTTCTACTTGAGTTATATCAGTAACGTCACACCTTATTAACCTGCTACATTTGAATTGATGGCGGATACCCTTAAAAGCGAAAGATCTAAGTTTTACAGAGTATTAGTATTCTATTAGCGCATCTGGAAGAGTGAATGTCGTTTATCTTCTTCCAGTACCATATTTTTTAACGTTTATTATCAAAGTTTTATACATTTTAAAAGACGAGACTCTTTGAAAAAAAGAACAACGTATTACTTCCTGTAATAGCAGTCCGTCCCAAAAAAGAGGAAAAGTGTCAGACTTCATTTCATATTTGTGTTCTTCCAGTGAAGTTGTTTCACATCCTAACGATGTCGAAAGTTGCACTGTCTGTACGCCCTTTAAGCTGTTTTCTTTCGCGTAGTACGTAATGGTCTACTTTTCCTCGATGGTCAACTAAACTGCTTGTTTTGTAGTTGTTTAGATCAGAGGAATCGCCGTTGTTTAAAACAAATTTTTAATTCATTTGTGCGCCAGTGTCGATCAGTAAGAAATGTGGAATCGGGCAAACAGGAGGAAATATAAAAGTATACATCATACAACTGGAATCGTGATATGTAGTGTAATATATGCGAGGCAGTATTAGCCAGAAGGATAAAAATTTAGAAAAACGTAGAAAAAGAGGAGTTGTATGCTTGACAAAGTCTGCTCAGTCGGGGCCCATCCTGGACTACTTTAAGTTTTCAATATTCACATTGGTATATGGCTTCACATATTCACACTGGTATAGGTCTGATAGATGGCCAACTCACCCTTGGGCCCTTGCGAATATTCATAACAAATGTGTGAATCGAGTTAAGCACTTTTTGGCCAACACACACGCACACACTGTTATTGGCGTACACGCTGTTCAAAGTAGCCTGCATAATTTCCGCATTCTTCTTCAGACGAAGAATGAGTGTGGCGGACGCACGTAGCTGCACTTCTGGAAAGAAAGCAGTTGCCAGTCTGTCGGATGGAAGCCAGCCTGCAGTTGGGCAGTAATAATAAAACCTTTTTCTGTTTATTTACCGGGAAAATGTCACTTCATTTTGGGAAATCTCATGGGCAGATGCTCACGGTAGTAAACAGGCACCCCCTTAAAGAGTTCTTTGGAATCTAGATATTCCTCTTTCTATTATCAAGCCTACTTGCTTTTGTCCAAATTTACTTGAATATCGTCTGCTTGTAAAACTGAAGTTCACTGATGCTTTCCTTAATGTCCTCTAGTGCCCTGAAAAATGATAAGTATCATCTGTCCGTAAAAAAAATGCGAAGCCATCAATTGATTTGAAGTAAAGCCCTTTGCCTCAACCACAGGTTACCCAAGCACGAAATATGAGCGTCGGCACTTTTGCGTAATCCTTATCTATAAGGCCTTTCCATAATTCTTACAGAGATAACAAACCGGTTCCAATAAAACCAATAAATTAGACTTTTCCAGGCGTTCAGATGGTAGCGTGTGGCGCGAAGTCAGTGGGCGGGGAAAAAATAAGGAGGAGGAGAGGGAGGTTCCTTCCTTCTGATTGGTTAAATTTTTGCTTCAACCAATCAGGGCTATCCAGATCTTGATAGTGACACGTCATCAGAATGCACAGCAATTACTGTGCTCGTTTCTCAGAAGTTGGGCGCTTTCCGTTCAACCAAAACGTCCGCTTTAAATTTTCAGCAACTTCCAGATGTCAGTGGCAAAGCATTCTCCAAAATTTCCACAAAAGAGGACAACCTCGCGAGGTATACCCAAACTTTCCAAAAATTTTTCCCGGGAGTTTGCTTTCCAT